TGCAGACCAACAAAAACAAGAACTGGCCCAAGAAATGTGGATCAGTGGAAGCCAAAAATGCCTTTTGTGGGGTTTTTGTGTTTTAAATATGTAATACTTGACATTTTCTGCATCCAGCTGAGACGATTGCTGAGGATAGATCATGATTCTTTCTGAAAACATCGGTTTCTCTTTCTGTTCTGCTCTGTCGCAGACGTCCATTGACATCCTGACCACAGTTGTCAGAAACACCAAACCCCCTCTGTCAGAGCTGTTGGTGTGCCAAGCGTTTCCTGTGGTGGCACAGTGCACCCTGCGCACCGATGACAACGCGATAATGCAGGTAAACAAAACAAAGACTCAGCAAAAGGTCCAGAAATAATTCTGTCACACGTGGTCACTTTAACTGGGTAATATGTAGCATGTGGTGTAACACGTTGATCACCTCGCTCCTCTCTCCAGAACGGCGGTGAGTGTCTGCGGGCGTACGTCTCCATCGCTCTCGAGCAGGTTGCCCAGTGGCGGGACGACCAGGGAAACAGCGGCCTTTGGTACGTCATGCAGGTGGTCAACCAGCTACTGGATCCCCGGACGTCCGAGTTCACTGCCGCCTTCGTGGGCAGGTTGGTGTCCACTTTAATCTCTCGGGCTGGAACTGAGCTCGGTGAGCAGCTGGATCAGATCCTCCGAGCGATTCTGAGCAAGATGCAGCAAGCCGAGACCCTCAGTGTCATGCAGGTAGGAAGGAAAGATGGTTGATGGCTTTGCCGAAGGGCCGCAGGCTGAATTTCTTTCTTTTAATTGAGTTCCACTGGATGCTGGTATCTGAACCACCTCCTGTTTCTCCTCCCTCTCCAGTCTCTGATCATGGTGTTTGCCCACCTGGTTCACTCTCAGCTGGAACCTCTGCTGGAGTTTTTGTGCAGCCTGCCTGGACCGACAGGGAAACCCGCCCTGGAGTTCGTCATGACCGAGTGGATGAGCAGGCAGCACCTTTTCTACGGGCAGTACGAGGGGAAGGTCAGGTAAGAAAACTGCAACGATTTTACTTTGGCCTACAGTGAAAGAAGGTCTGAAAGGAAGAACATGAAAACCTTCAGCTTTGAGTTCAGGCTGTGTTGTGTTTTAACCCTTTAAGACCTACCATAGAACCAAGTC